TAGTGACTTAAAATGTGCCGTACCTAAAGGTTTAGCAGGCAGTTAAAGGGTTAAATCCTTATGGCGGCAGAAGAACAGCTAATTTGCGTTTCCTCATAACCATTTGAATGCAGCTTTTAAAGTAAATGTGAGTACACTCATAAACCCCTCAAAAATAAACAGAGTTCTTAAGGCACCAGATCTAATCACAGCTGTGGGCAAAAAGTCACAAGTTTCCCTTCCCAGTGAAGATTTTCTGTTCCAGCCCGTAACAAAAGCAGCAAGCGCATGCTGCATATTGCTATCAAACAGCAGCAGATTTTCCCTTCTGTTGAGTGTAGGTTGCCACAAGGAGAACTCTGAATAATGGGGGGTAAGGGGGGGGGGGGGGGCACCATGTCAAAATTTGAAGTTCTGGGGCTCCTTCAATAATATACACCCCCCCACACACACACACACCCCATAGCCCACCCCATTATTTCTGGCTGACTTCAAAGTCCCTCAGAGACGAGCATGGCACAGCCACAGTTGCATTATGAAGCAGCTGCCCACAGTGGGAGGCAGCCCTTATAGCATTACAGCCACACACAGTCGGGGGCCACCCCACATCCCCAATAACACCCCCCACCTCCTCCTCCTCCCTCCCTCCCTCCCTCCCTCCCTCCTGCCCCGGCCCCGCGGTATAAGCCACTTAATGAGCCATCCAGACAGTGTTCCCCAATTCAATCTTCGCTCAGCCCCTCGGGGACGGTGTCTGACTTACCCCTCGCGTGCTGCGGACAGCTTGGGAGAGCTCAGTATGGTCAGAGAGAGATGATGAAGAGAAGCAGAGAAAGAGAGACGCATAGACAGAGAGAGAGAGAAAGGAGGGGGGTATAGCAGTGTAGGAAGTTCAGCTCCACCCCTACTAGAGCCCCAGATCCCTGCTTACTTCTTATTTTTTTCCACATCCAACTTTCCCCTCTCAGTAAGATCCAAAACAAGCATGAATATCAGACTGAGCTCCAAGCCGCAGGAACACAGGAGCATCTGTCTGACAGACGTCTGCCGCTTTCAGTCCCACACGCTAATGCTGAAGAAATGCTGTTTTCTTACAGATACAGCTGAGCAAGGAAAGAGAAGACCATCTGATATTAGTCACTAAACCATATCAGTCACAAAACTTCTCATGTAAAACCAGTGCATGGTTTCCAGATTATACCAGTGATATTACCAGCTGGGACACATCATAAAGGATATGCCATAGTGTATGCTACGGTAAAGAGTAAATCCAGAGCTCTTTCCTCTTCATAAAATTGACTTCTTCATTTCAAATGGCAGTTATGAAACAGAAAAAGCTATTCCCAGCTTATTTTTAAAAGCACAACAGGAACCGATACCTCCAACTTCTCCTCTATACTACGCAGTGGCGGCTGGTGAACTGGCGATAGGGGAGGCTCAAAACAATCCCTTAAAATTAATGATTGGTCGCGACCTGTTTTCAATCATTCATTTAAATTACCATTACAGAAACTCCAAAAATTATCAACATTATCAGGTGTGGCCAGTTTTCATTTATAATGCGTACCTGTCAACTTTCATGCATTCGGTGTGAGTTTAAGTGGCATATTTACGTTCCTCTGCTGTAGTCAGCAATTATTCAATCAACGCGTATGTAAGAGATTCTCGCGTGGAGTCTTTGTGCACTGGAGGGGTTGGAAGCAATGGAATTGCATAAAGACGTTTCAAATGATCTTATTTCATTTAAACGATCATGAAACACATGCTTTGCTTCCAATCTCTGACTAAAGAAAAGCGTATGAAGTCCGGAGTCGCAATCAGTATGCGTTATAAATGAAAACTGGCCATACCTGATAATGTTGAGAGTTATCAGAGTTTCTGTAATGGTAATTTAAATGAATGATTGAAAACAGGTCGTGACCAATCATTAATTTTATGGGATTGTTTTGAGCCTCCCCTATCGCCAGTTCACCAGCTGCCACTGGTACTACGTGCTTACGAGGAGAACAGGAACAGTCTTTATGAGGACAACAGGAAGTACGGAAACCTCTGTAAATTAAATGTAGAAAAATAAAGATTTTAGATACAGAACTTGAGCCTAGTCTTGTCTGGCCCACTTTTGTCAAGATCCACGTAAAGGAAATGAGGAATGAGTAACCAGCCATTCCGTCAGGTACTCCTAATGTAGCCCCAGCCAAAGCAAGTCTGAGTTTCAGCGCACGGAATGGAATAGACCCGTTTCTGTCATATGTAACCAAAGACTGTATAAGTAAGTGGTTAGTATCGAAAATGCGTGTGTTTTATCCTTTTTAGTTAAGAAGCAAAACAAATATTCTATGCAGTTAGTAAGTACTTGGACACAAGCAAACAAATTTTTGTTTTTTTGGCTCTTGAGCAAGTTGGATTTAAAATAAATTAGCATGATAGCACTAGCAGTTTTTATGGGTTGGTTTTATACTGTACATTCATATTCATATTGCAAAATCAAATCGCACCCATTTTTAATACAGCATCACTGTCCAAATACTTACAGAACCCAGCATGAAGACAAGAACCCTGAGATATGTTTTAAATGGTACTCACGGCACCTCTCTCCAGCCACTCCATCAGGGTGTGTGCAGTGGCCCCTGGGACCTGGCCCCGGAGCGCGTCCCGATCCTCCTGGCACACCTGAGCCTCCAGCGCAGCCCGCAGGTCCTCGGCCAGCTGCAGCACCTGGCGTGGGCTGACGTACCCAGTCGAGCCCAGCTCAAACCCGCCATTGCTTAACTCCGCCACGACTTTGGAGCCTACGGCACAAAAAGTGTTGAGTCAAGAGCAGGAGTAAAATACGCTTCCACTTTTATTGAAAATCAGCCGCCTCTACCTAAACGGGCACTGTAAATCACTATGCACCGCGTCAGGATTTTTTTCTGTATTTAAGGAACATTTTTATCAGGAGACAATGCTTGTTCTGCATCTGGGCAGATAGGTTCGTGCATTCCGAGAGGCACGTTTTCAGTTTTCCTTTGTGCGATGAGTAGTAATAATGATCAACAACTATAATTCTGAAATAGCCGGCACATTCTGGAAAATGCAAATAAAATCAAAATTGGTGACATGAAAAGTCTGTGCACCCTCTGATTATTTTATGCTTTAATTTATGAATTCAGTCGTTTATTGAGAATACACCTGAAAAGGCAATGTTAAGCACGTGAGCTAATCATGTTATAGTACAAACCAAGCCGCCAAAAAAGGCTTGGTCTCTCATGAGCAAAGATTGGTCGAGGGTCACCAATTTGCCGACAGATATGTAACCCAAAGACAAATTAGTAGGATTTTGGCATTTCATTCAGGGGTGTCAAACTGGTGCAATGGAGGGCCAAGAGGCTGCAGGTTTTCATTCCACCCAAAAACTCCACCAGGTGACTTCACTAATTAGTCCGTTCTCTCTGCTTGAAGGTGAGGTAATCAGTGAAGTCACCTGGTGGAGGTTTTGATTGGAATGAAAACCTGCAGCCTCTTGGCCCTCCATGGCACCAGTTTGATACGTGCTCTACAGCGTGTAATGTAATTAAAAGATGGAAGGAGTCTGATAAAATATCGGTGAATAAAAGACAAAGTTGAAAATCACTTCTGAATCCATGTGATCTCTAATCGCTCTGATCCCCTCAGCATTACACAGCTGTAAAGAATATCACAACAAGGGCCTCTGATTCTTTGATTACAACAAAGATAGCGAAAATTAGCGACAAATATCCGCAAATGAATAACGTTGATCGAAATTAAGCATCAAAATGACACGTTTTCTTTCTCGTGTTACCTTATTAAGGAAAACTGGCCACAACTTAAATGTTAATTTAAATGAATGATTAAAAACCGGTCAAGACCAATTATCATTTTAAAAGAATGTTCTGTGCCTCACCAATTTTCAGCTCACCAGCCACCACTGGGTCACACATGATAGCAAGATGAGCCGGGGACGATACCCATGTGACCTAGAAGTTAACCCTTTGAGCGCCGAATAAATTTTCAAGGAATTAAGAATGTAATTATCCTGAGCTGTTGAGAACCTATCATGTGTCAACTTGTTTAAAAGAGCTCCCCTGTGGGATCTTTTAAACAAGTTGCCACGTGATAGGTTTTCAACAGCATCTGGTTTTGATATCTTACACCATTGGGCAACTATGGTTGCCTATGGCACTCTAAGGGTTAATTCACCCATCTGGACCATAGACCGTACAAAAAATATATCAACACATCCCCAGAGAGACTGAATACAGCTTCACAGCAGAATTGTCACAGTGAGTACCGATATAGTGTCACACACAGTGCTCACACAGATTGCCACACTGAGGTCCATAAATATTTGGATGCTGACACAATTGACACTACCCAGCGCATCAAGTAAGCTTCAATTTGAGGGATTTCAAACCCATATTTAGTTAACCATGTGGGAACTACAGTTTGTTACAATTCGTCCCATGAATACAAAAGGTCGCAAGTGACATTCCTGATGAAATCTGTTTTTCTGCACCACGGTGCAGAAAAACAGGTTTCATCGGGAATGTCACTTTTGACCTTTTTGTTATTCATGGGACGAATTGCTTCATTGCCCAGATTCTGATTAACGTCATTATATATATATATATATATATATATATATATATATTTCACTATTACAAAGCCAACCAGTTTTTTTTTTTTTTTTTGATTTTTAATCAATGTGTTATGTGATATAAAAGCTCATGAAGGGATGTATGGGGTGGGAAGGGTATAACAAGGTTAACGTCATAAGCAGTGTGATTACAGTGCTTATACACATATTATGCAACTTTAAGTAAGTCTGTTCCGAGCCAAGTAGCCCATCAGCCCCAGTGCTTAACCCCTGTTTCCATGAAGCAACTACGAGTACTGCGACTCCCCCTGAAGGGGATGCTAGCCATCGCAGGTTACCCCCCAGCGCAGGTTACCCAATTATACACCTGGATGGAGTGAGGCACTGTGGGAGTGAAGTGTTTTGTCCAAGAACACACTGCAAAAACTGTGGCTAAGATTTGAACTCAGGTCCTTTTGATTCCAAGTCAAGCACATTAAACCACTGCACTACTGCATCTCCTATTCCATTCCCTTCTCTTAAAATTCTTATAGTTTTCTCTAGTGTCAGGTGCGGGAGTCTTACGGAGGATATCAATGTTGCACTTCGGTGCCCCAAGCACAGAGTCATAATTAGCTTCAGTTAAGCCACCGACGCATGACTGAAACTTATTAATGTTTCATGTTTTCTGTTCTGAGGTCAACTTACACTTTGAATGTGCATTTACTGGTAGGAACATGTTTTAAGAGGGATTTCATGGATGTAAAAAATGCTTTTTTCATGCATAAGATCAGCTCAGTCCACTGATAGCACGTTGAAATATTTATCCACAAAGGACATTTTTCAAGATAACATAAACATCACAGCAGCAAGAATAGCCGAGTACAAAAATGCCATAATTCATCTCAAGTGCACATGTAATCACATGCGAACACATATGTGAAATTATACATGTCTTACATTAATCTGAATAGACTGAGTGGATCAAAATTATGTTGCAAGGGTGAAAGTAGATTTTATTGCTGAAAATATTCAAGTAAATATAGACTGCTGAGTATTCATATTTAACCCAAGATTTCCTTTTATTTTGCTTACAAATAAATAACACAGATTTCTACATTATATATCTAAAACTGCAATGGTGCATCAATTTTTGTTGGACACTTCTGAAATTTAGTTTTCAAATCAAAAATGTTTCTACATGCTGCGATCAAAATTCCCTGAGGATGAGCATTTGCAACTGATGTTTTGACAGCAGCCAGTAGATGGTGCCAATTCGACTTCAGATGGGAGCTCCACAGGGGTGAAATGCCTGCGGTTGTATTTGGGCATTAAATTTGTCAGTCCGATTCATTCAGTAGCGTATACCCATTCTCTCACCACAGGCTGTACCTTACGGCATCATAATCAACTATTTCACTTGATGGCACACAGCAGGAAACATGCTAAAGCTCCCATTTTGGTTTCAGGGCTCCGATACCCATGATTTATCTTGTCGAAATGCTTTCCAAAAGATTAGGACAGCAATTCATGCAACTGCTCAAGCATTGGGATGTAATGTGATTTTAATGACATTCTATTTGCAGTTATAATCAACATGCCAATTTAAGATGGCAGTAAATTCTGTTTTCCATACATATTATGGGTTAATTACAATCAACACGTTACCATTTGGATGTTAAAAATAAACAACTAAGACCTTATTTAAATTTGTTAAATGAATTATGTCACGTTATATGTCCTAATGGGCACAGGAGTAAGAAATCGACCGGGAGAGCCCAAAGCCAATCACTGATGTGCTGTCTTGATCAGTTCAAAAAGTTTTATTTAATATTTTATTTATTTTTCCGGGCTGACAATAGAATGAACTGTAAGATTTACTGTAATTCAAATCATTTTTGTCAAAAAAATCCTTTTACTAAGCTTCCACAGTGAAAACAGCAAGTGATTTATAATGCTGGACATAAAAATTTCAGAACCCAAATGCATGGATTTCCACAAGATTTTCCTAGCTTTTCTGAACAGGCTTATCCATGCCCAGTTATATATCAATACCTTATTTAGACAGAAAATGACACGATTGGTTTTAATCCCCTAAGCTCAATTCTGTAAAATGTCTATATGACGTATGTATTTTTTATTAGTGACATCAGAGAGGTAATTCCTTGTCATGTTCTGATTGTTTCAATGTTTAGTTGTTTTTTTTTTCCCCAATTCATCCAGCCATCTGCGTCGGTTACAGTGCTGTTTTCCTTAATTGATTGATTATTGTCTCGTTTCTCTCCCCAACTCGCGGATGTCTCTGCATGCTTGCATGCTCCCTGTCCCATCATTATTGACTGGCATAGTGTATTTTTAAGTTCCTGTGTTGCTTTTCCCCTTTGCTGGATTGTCTAATTCTTTTCATTGTTCGTTAAACCAGTTCTTGTCTGGTACTCTGATGTCCTCCATCTTTCGTATAATAATTAAAACTAAAAACAAGTTGCTATTAAGAAGGGATTGCTCTCCCTCTGTTTACATGGCTCAAAGAGTTGTGAATTCTCTGGTTCTTCTGAGCCTCTGTGTTCGAGCATGTGCACAATCCTGCATCCCCTGTTACCTCTGGATTGCCTTCCCAGTATCGACTCAGACCAATTTCCAACCACGACTTGCGCACTGCCTTGATCCTGTCAGCGACTTGACTGACTTGGACTGTCCCAGACCTGCTGCTGAGCCTCTTTAGTGTTTTTACTCTTAGTTTGTACCAATTGTGACATGATATTCATTATTAACCCTCAGAGCGCTGAAATATTTTTTTTATATATATAAATTGAATTATCTTGTGCTTTTGAAAACCGATCATGTAGCGACTTCTTTAAAAGAGCTCCCCTTTTAAACAAGTCGCCACATGATAGGTTTTCAACAGCTTTGATTTCGATATCTTACATCATTGAACAACAATAGCTACATTTAGTGCTCTAAGGGCTAAAAGTGCCCAGTGGCTTTCTCTAGATCTGTATCCGATTCCATATCTTAAGTTCATGACAATCTCTGAATGAGCTGACGAAAACCAGCTCCCAACAAAGCCTCTTAGCAATTTAAAATTCAGTCCTTAACATTGTCACAGTTTGCCTCATATTACCCCGAAATGAACACAATCTGCTGTCCAGGACACATAGTTCAAAAGCATTACCAAAACATGTAGGTAAATGAGCAATTACAATAAAATGACTGATGGCTTTTTAAAAAGACAAATTGTATGCCATACGATATAATATAAATGACGTTTTATAGCAACTCAGGATACATTTGAGTTCATTCAAACCTGTTGTAGATCTACATCTATATTGGAAGTCAGGACGCAAATAAAAGTCTTTTTCTATTGTTGTTGTAAGACCACTGCTAATCGTGACCTTTTCTTGCAGCTTTTGTATGCAGTCAGCCGAAGGTATTGAGATATGTCACACAGATTTCCCCAGACCAGCAAATAATGCTGGAAGTGTTTATCTTGACATAGATTAAAAATTTAATTAAATCCACTCACATTGGTCATCTTCAGCATGAGAGAAGAATTATTGCCTCTGTCAAAGCTCTGAATAAGGAGCAGGGTTTGAACTATTCTACTTACAATCATTACATGCATCTTATTGTGGTGTAAATTGAGGCGCTCAAAACCAGTCTTAACACTGAGTCAGAGCACTAAGGATAGCATTGGAGAGAAACACTCTTCTGTCACCCCGATGAAATTTTGTTGTACTTCATGTTGTACGCTATTCAAAGTCTTTCCTAATTGTTGCAAGGGGGGGAGTCATTAGCCTGTTGCTATGAATAGCATGTTTTCCTGTTTCCTCTCATCTCGAGCCTTTGGAGCTATTTGATACCCTTCTATGGGTAGATAAACAGCACAGCCCACGTTCTAGCAGTACAGTACCAACTGGAGCCACTGTCCAGGGAGAGAGAATAGCTGTCCAATATGAATGCCTAAGCAAGCTCAGAAGAAACAGATGAAGTATAAACAACATGATGAAGGGCTGGGATAGAACGGCAGGATGCAGTCTTGCCTTTACCCAATTTTTTACCACAGGAACAAAGTCCACTGAAATAACAAGCAGTGTACTACAGCTCAAGGACCTACTAAATTATTCAACACCTGCATTTAAATGTTAATGACAACTTGGAATTGAGATCACTGGCATTAACAGTACAATAACTGTATGTCCACACTTGAGCACTCAAACCAATCACAAAAAGCATATTTTTTTTGTTTTGCCCTTTGATTAATATTTTGTGTCCATGTTTACTTTGCAAAACCAATGAAATCAAATATTAGTGACACCAAGGGTGGACATAACGGGGGAGCAGAGGGTGCATTGCACCCTGGACCGCATGGAGTGGGGGCCTGTTGACAAGTATGCAGAGACTGTGGTAAAACTGTCCACAGCACAGTCCTATGCACTAATGATTTCCCTAGTACTGATGATAATGCCGGGATCAGAAGACAACAGCATATTTGCAGATTTCTGCAGTATTTCTCACATTAGAAATGGCACCAAAGTTGAATAAATCTCTTTCATGGTGACAAACTTTTTAAAGTATGTAGGGGCCTACATTGGACTTGGGAAATGAGAATTATATTTTATCAAAATTGATAGTGGGTAGGCTGCATATTTTCAGTTAATATTATGTAATCAAATGTTTGCAATCCTGTGCCTGAAAGAGATATCCACAGCAAGAGGCCTAGAAAGCCCAATAATAAAAAATGGGATTTTTCTAAACTTCTTATACATCCAACAAGTGACAAGTGACTGCAAGTGGCTGCTATTTCATTCCCTGAGTAGGGAATAGTAGAAGAAGACTGAGTAACACCTGTTGACAGGTGTGTTTTATTAATGCGCTGAATCCTGCACTTATGCATTAGCTGCCAAGCAGTTTGATTTTAACAGATTTTTCTATTTCATTCCCTGCTAAGACATTTAAAGCAAACTTTTCTCCGTCCTCAAGCCTGCTTCTCCGGTGCTGTTGAAATGCATCTCCTTGAAACTTTTGAACGTATAGATTATACATGGACTGACCAACAAATAAAACACTGTTAAATGGCCTTTCAACTTGATCAACATTGAAAAGAAGACACAGTTCTTTAGTGAATGTCCTTGATTTCACTTTGTGCCCAGTGTATCCTTTCTTCTTTCTAGTTTTGTATTCTGATTACCAGTTTTCTTGGAATTTGTTTAGTGTTTAGGTATTCTGTGGTCCATTAGCCAGCTAATAATAGATGTATACAGTGCTATGTTTGGATGTGGAGGGAGAGCAGAAGAATAACGGGGTGAGAAACTGGCATTTACCTCTTTCTGATCTCTACTATAATTGCATTGTTGTCACCATGAATGGTTTCACAATACAATATTATATTACAGAAAAGGAACCTCAGTAAGCAACATATACAGACCTAACAAAGACTAGTGAGTAAATTCCTCCGCATCTACGAGAGAGACTGGTATCAGATTATGGGAAGAGACTCATTTCAACAGCTGCTGCCACTG